AGGAAAAAGTAGCACTAAAAACTGGATTTCGGACAAAACGAATTTTTCTATTTGCAGCCTATTCTATTTATATCTCAGCCATGTGTTGGCAAGCAATATAAGAAAAACAGCATCCACCTTTTGCATTTTAGAGTGACTACTTTTCCAAAATTGTTCCTAGCCACCGTAGACTTTTTTACCTGGTGAACTTTTGATCCTTCTATATTTTACAGCTCAGGCAGCAAAAATTTTGGTAGATATTATGAGATATTCAATACAATGAATTGGAAATGACAACAAATAGTTTCCGTCACGTACCTCTCCTATAATCCTATTCAATCCAACATATCGAACATGCTTTCGTTGTTCTTCCACACCCTTGAGAGAAGGAAAGAATAACCTTGAAAACAGGATTTTGAACAAATGAATTCTTGTTGTTTCGGCCTATTGGATCAAGCCATTTTAGGAGCAGTTCTTCATATATGGAATCAATTGGAAGGCATTTGCTCCCTGTTTGATGTGGTACATTTTCCATAGAATTTTTTTTTTTTTTTGTTTTCCACCTTTCGGTAGTGTTTGGTGTGTAAAATTTTCTATCCATTTTCCACCCCCACGTTATGCACTTTCCATCAATTGGTGGAAAATCAAGTTCTCAACCCTTTTTTTAATAATAATAATAATTTTTTTTTTGGTGCAATGAAAACAAATTTCATTCACAATTGTAAAAAAATCTATCCATTTAATTGGCAATCTTCATGAAATACAAAGTCAAACGAACACCAAAATATTCAAAATTTCAACATTTTTCAGGTGAAATATTATACCAATCAAACACATTTACTTGACAACTCCCAATAAAACAAGTTATAGGCAATTTAATTACCTGAAATTCGTTTTCTTTCCACCCAAATTCCATTTTTGCAATTAAACGAGCCCTTAGTCCCCATTTGTGGGAATGAAAAGAAGTGGAATAGTGTTTTTCTTTTAAAAGTGAATGGTTGAAAAAGAAAGAAATTTTTTTGATTTACGTGTAATATTATTTTATGAAAGATTGTGTGATTGAAAATATGAGAGATAAAAATAAAATGAAAATTAATGGGGGCCAAACGAAGGCTTAATCTTGTTCAGTGCATCGTACCAGACATGCCTTCAATGTTCTCCTACGTCCTTAAGAGAAGGATAACCAAGAAAATAGAGTCAGAGAAATAAAATTCTTTTATTTGCTGCCTATTTGATTTGAACGTTGCCGTGCTGTTTGAACCTGCGTAGAATAGACACAGCAAGGGGTGGGAGGGGGATTTTTTGGACATTTTTTTATCACTACATGGGTCCCACATGTGAGATTTCTGAAAAAAATCTGCGAAACATTTTCTATACAAACAACATTTTTGATTTGATTTACATGCAAGCCATATGTTGGCATGACCATTATTTAAGAACAACCGCATTCCCTTTTGCATCTTAGAGAGGAGCACTTATTCAAATATGTTAGTAGCCACTACCGACTTTACGGTACAAGAATTTCTATTTAAAAAACCTTAATAACTCTACCTACCATGGGAATCATTTTCTCCCACGATCCACTATTTTTTTTAATCATTTCTACATTTTTACAATTATGCCGGCATAATTTTTGGTAACTACGAAAGTGACGATTTCTAGCAGATACTCACATTGAGATAAGATAACCAACCTCTTGCATTGCACATTAGTTCAAGCATATTGTTGTTGAAGAAGAAGACAATGTCCTTGACATGCGGGAAACTGATCTTCCACTTCTTTCACACACTTTCACTAGATGTCCTATTCGACCAGGTTATCTCGACTTCAAGTGTTCGAGAAGAGCCATCATTGTCGCTATTGTGGCTAAGGCTGAAAATATCGCTGTAATTTCCTTCATTTATAATTTTGTCCATTGGAATTGCGACTCTCCCAAGAGTAGCCTGAAAAAAAAGGGGCAATCTGCATAGTCAAAAACTAAGAGAACATATGAATAATAGCGTCAACTCTGTTATGAGTGTTGGAAAATAAGTTATCAAACTTTCAATAGAATCTTAAAAATTCAATTTTCATTTTTTAATTTTAAGATTTCAGTTTTAGTTTTCTTTTAATTTTTCAGTTTTTGTCTTAATTTTAGATTCAATACAAAAGATTAAAACTCATTATTATATTTGTAACCTATGTTGAATTTTATTAATAAGATGGTTGACTTTTCTACTATAAAAAAGGGTGGATTTCACATTCTTTGACGCACAACAAATCAAATACAAAAGATACTCTCTACTCTCTAATCATTTTATACTATATTTCTATAGTTTGTCGCAATTGGATGTGAGGCTTGTTTTTTATCTCCCTATGATTGTGCCCATAGAAGGAGAGTTATTTTGGAATCGCTTAGTGTCGATAGGACTCGCACGAAAGGGAGGCAACACGACTTTAGGACAATATCCTCGACGTAACTCTCAATGCTTGCTTTTCTAACCCTTTTCTTATTTTATATTATTTTTGAATTATATTTATGTATTTAATTGATTATTCTAATTGATAAATTTTTACACACAACTAATTTTCCCAACAATAAGTTCATTACCAAACCACGGTAAGTTCTATGTCCAAGTATTCAAGTATGATCACAAGCAAGTATCAAAACATTAAAATGAATGTAATATAGCAGAATAACATTTACCTTCTTGAATGTATTTTTGCTTTTACATGATATATTTAAATTTTGCCCCTTTGGTGGTACATCGAACGCCCATTTGAATCCTTCATTCCATTCTGGAGAGTTAGTATGGTACACAACCTGATAAGAGATATATAATGAGGATTATGAGCAGATGAATTCCGATGGCACGGCTAGGTTTAATTCATTTTATCTCATATTAATAGTTGCCAGATGAAATCAGGAAGGTAAATGTCCTAAGAACTCTTAGCAGTAGTTCTTGGCTCTTAAGACTTACCGTCCCAAAAGAAACGATCTATAACAGAAAAGTAAATGTAAACTACCAAGGGGGGATATACTATTATTGAGCATTCAATCCACTTCTTGCATAACATAACGATTGCCGCAGAACGTAGAGCATGTTTGGCTAAGCTTGAAAGAAATAAAGGTTATTTTGTTTTCAAACATGTTTGTATAAGCTACTTTTACGTATTGTCAAAGACCCAAAAAAATTTATTTTTTTTAAAACATATTAACTTAATATTATGTCAGCTTTTTAAGCTTACTAAAACGTGATCTACGTTAATAAGTTAACCATCACATTGATAAAATGACAATTCGTTACCGTAGTTTGCTTGGCAGAACCATTGGATATTGTCAATCGACAAAAAGGATTCGTGCCTCCCATTACGCGCTTCAGATTATTGGCACGCTTAACCATGACTGTCAAACAACCAGGTAAACAACGCAACAGGCTCTCAGCTCGATCTTGAAAACTTGCTGGGCAAGTTTTTGAAAGAAGTTGCAGAGTCGGAATGGCTTCGGCCACTATCATTGCTTGGGATTTCGACACACCAGTCAGAACAGCCGGCCAAGATTGTTTCAACAAGCATAAAATGGTCAGTACAGAATCCTGGACGGTCTCACTGCCAGATTTAAGCGCTGCTATTAAATGTGGAATGCACAGTGTTGCTGCTTCCGATGAGTGGAGCTTCTGAAAATTGACAAATATAACTTGCATCGTTCTCAAAATCTCTTCGTTAACAGTGGCTGTTGACAACAATTCTCTCTCTAGAGCAGCTGCATATTAACATTTTAAGAAGATCTTTAGAGTAAACTTTTTAAATGCACCATAATCATGAAGAAATTAGAAGATTTACCAATACTCTGAAAGCAGAAGGCACCAAATATGATTTATAATCCCTCGAAAATGTAAAATTACGTTTTGAGTAATGGAAAGGCTTGAGCTTGAATTCTGCAAATTATACAAGGGCCAACTGAACTTGAAGAGTCATGGGACAAGTGCAGACACATCTATGAAAAATTGAGAATATTTCAAGATGGGGTAGATAGTTTACTTGGTTATTCAAGACATTAAGGCATACTCAATCTAGTTTCGAAAATGTATAATTGTACTTTGAGATAGGCTCGAGCTTGCATTTTACAAATTAGAGGACAGACAATCTGAATTGGAAGATTCATGAGACAATGGACAAATGTGTTCATAAAAAATAGAGAACTATCCAAGATGGGCTAGATGTTTCCAACAATGTTATTCAAATCCATTGATAATAAGAGGCATATTAATTAAAAATTTGTGCTTTTACGGGAGTCAGAGTTGGGAAATAAACACCAAGAACCAAAGGAGAAAAAATATTTGAAATACTTGCCTGTCAAAGAACTGATGAGCTCATTGGATACATGCTCTTGAAGTGCGTGACTAGAAAATATATATTTGACGAGCAATGCCGCCTGTCCCGCAGTATCTGAATTAGGGGACAGTAGCAGTTCTTGAATAACCACTGCACCACCTGCTTCAGCAACAAATCTCCTATTGGTTCTGCTGTGCATGACAAAGTTTTGCAATGCACAAACTGCAACCATTTTCATTTGTTCTGTCGTCTTATCTTCAAGCAGGCTTATTAGCGCTCGGCAAGCAGAAACAGAATCATTCGATCTTGCAAGCCCTTCATGATGAGAGAGGCCGCCAAGAGAAAGAGCTGCAAAAAGCTTACCAGTTTGCGATGTGGTTTCTGGGTCAAGCAAATACTGAGCTAGAGGTGCAATTGCCTTTTTAGAAACCTTCATTTTTTGTACACGTGTATTATTACATAAAATTTCCAGTAGTCTCCCTGCTGCTTCTTCACTTTGGTGAGATCTTAGTAAATCTAATAGTGCATCAATGGCACCAGCTTCAGCCATCAATTCGGCACTTGAAGCATCACTTTTTTCTTGAACAATCAGTGCATTTAGTGCAAGTGTGAAGGTCCCCTCAGAAGTTGAATGCAAGATCCTTACAAGAACCTCAATGGGAACTTTGAAATAGTAATCAGCATTAAATTGTAGGACATTACAGAGGACTACTGCAGCCAATTCCCATAAAGCATCTGATGGTCGAGGATTGTCTTGCAAGATAACCCTTGAAAGCTCAAGAATACCACCAGCATCAGCAACTGCCTCTGGCCAGCTTAAGGAGATATTTTCCAATGCCTTTACTGCAGTTTCTTGTAAATTCAAGATGCCAATTCCGGCAAGCTGAACAAGAGGGATAGTTGCGTTCATTGTTTTTATATCCTGCTTAAAATCTTCTTGTTCGAGCAGGTGAGACAGCAAATCTGTACTAAGCTGCTGGATGTCTTGTGAAGGGGATTCAAGAAATGGAATTAAATACTCGACGACTTGTGTAGGTGTAAGTTCCAAAGTAGCAAGGTTTTGTGGTTTCTCCAAAATGTTAACGAGTGCTTGTAGGGCACTATGCTGTCCCCACTGATCAAAATCTGTCTGAAGTAGAACCGTAAAGAGAGGTTCCACAATCTTTACAGCAGCAGAGCTTATTGAAATTGCACTACTATTTGTCAGGATGCGGAAGAGTTCTGCTATTGTGGAGAACAATGAATATGGAGCAGTCAGGAGTAGCTCAAGACAAGAATCTATGACGCCTGCATTGACCATATCCAACTTGCGAGAAGTTCGGTCTCTCCCGAATTTAATAAGGCAAGATATGCTTGCTTCAATAAGCCGAAAATTTGATCCAGAAACGAGGCTAACAAGAAGACCAACAACATCATGAGCTGATGCAAGGTCTACATGTTCTCTGTCATCCAATAATCTCTCAAAAGCAGTAAGACCAGATTCCACTGCCGACTCTTGATTGGACTGAATCAACAATAGAAGGTGTTCTATACATTCAGAGGCAATTGGCATCCCCCTGACTCTTGGATTATCAAAAAGCACAGAGCATAGTACTGCAGCGTCACTCTTCAATTTCAAAGAAGCAGAAGATGATAGAAGTCTAAGTAAACTCTCGAGAGGATTGCCTTCCACCTCAGCCAGCAGAGCTTCGTTTGCTTCATTTTCTGAAGTCAGCTTAATCAAAGCACTAATGGCGACCTGCTGTTCATGCTCCAAAGCAGAATTAAGCATATCAACCAAAGGCTGAATTGCCTGCATAGATGCTTCAGAATCCCTGATGCTCTCGGCATCAAAAAGTTCATCTAAGGCCAAAGCTGCACTTAATCTTGCGCTTCTTGATCCCAAGTGAAGAACAGCAATGAGTTGATTCATGCAGCTAACTGCAGCTTCATATAGAAGAAGATCTGAATTTCCAAACAATATTCTCAACAGTTCGCATATAGTTGCTTCAGTTGAGTCTTTTGGACTCAAAGACAAGTATTTGCTTAGAGCATCCAGTGCTCCAGCTTCAGCAATGAGTAATTTATTAGTATCACCAACATTTGCAATTTGAATCAAGATTTGGACAGCAAATGGTGGGGCTCCTGGTCTCTCTGGAATTGGCCTCAACAAATTGACGAGCAAAGGTATTGTCTCGTGAGCTATGGAATTAAGTCTAGCATCTTCAGTTTGAAAAAGGCATTCCAGAACTACTTGACCCGGGTTTTTTACTAAAGAAAATTCTTCTGATATGTCAATAAGGTTTTGCATATCTGATTCTACATTTCCACTTAGTGTTATTAAACCAGAAACTGCATCCAAGTTTGCAATAGCAAGATTTGTTCCCTTGTCTCCATGGCTAACAATACTAGCGATTGCCTGGGCAGCAAAGAATTTATTGATCATTTCGTCAGACTTCAGCAGGAGAGAAAGTGTGGGTATAAAGTTCATGGCTGTAGGAGAGCAGACAATACTGGCATCCTGGAATAATATAGCCACGAGAAGAGCACTAATCCATGTGCTCTCTGTATCCTCATAATCTACCTGTAGAAATGTATTTTCTTTCAGCAACAAAATGTAATGGTAGCAAAGAATGAAGATGCTCACAAAAAAGTAAATTATTTCTAGTTCCTAGAGAGGCCGCTCCGTTTACATGTCTTGAAATATTATAATAAAGAAGCTCATTTACTTATCAATAAAGTAAAAGAAAAACAGAGACAAAATCAATATACATTTGTTAGATAGTTACTTGAAAAAACAGCCAGAGAAAATTAAAAGGAAACATAAAGAAGTAAAACGGTAGCAGCCAACAAGTTGTATGCCTGACCTGGTCGTTCGAAGTATGTTTTGCAAGATTGTCTGAAAGAACTTCCAGAACCTCAGCTTCCATTACGATGAATTTGCTCTTTGAATGAAATGCAGAAATTATTGACAGCAACCACATGGCAACAGTACTTCCCAAGACAGTTACTGGATCCTGAACTTTAATACCTCTAGGAGTTTTGACTTCAATTTGAAGAGAAGAACAAGTAGAATTTTGTTTTGTCATGTCTACTAATGCACGTATAAGAGGTTCCAAGGATCCAGAGGCCTTGAGTGCATCCATTGACTGAATTTTATGGTCTTTGGCGGCGCATATTATCAATGTTGTTCCTCCAACTTTTACTTCTCCACTGCTAGAATTCATAATTCTATTAGCCAATGCAGCAATAGATCTTGAGTATGAGATCAAAAGATCAGCTAGAACTCGTGGTTGAACCCCACAAAGCCTACACAAAATTTCTATTGCTTTATCTTGCACCAAGGGAGGTCCGTCACATAGGCACTGCACCAGAGGCTCTAAACTAGACGGGACTTCAGCAAGAATAGAGCATAGTTGGTATGTGGAGTTTATTCCATAATTCATCCGAGAGAATAGTGCAACAATTTCTAAAGTATGAGCAACATCATTTCCATCCATATCCATTGCATTTAAGGAATCGAGAATAGCAAGAACTGCAAATTGACACTGAGCACTTCCCGAAAATATATTGCCTGCTGGGAAATGCTTCAAGAGTTGGTGAAGAGCACGGGATGCACTCTTCTTACCTTGCAGAGATCCTTTTCCCAGAATTCTTGTTATTGCTGAAACAATATCTTCCCCCAATGCATCTGAAGCTATTTGTGGATCCAACAGCATATTAGCCAAGGCAGCCATAGCTACCTCTGCCGAATCGATGGATGATGTCTTGGCCAACTTAATTAACTGTTTGTAATCACCTTCTGCATAAGAAATTTTATTTTTCGACTTAGACTTGGTAGGACGAGCAGCAATAACTTGAGTTTTGCCAGTTAAAAGTTCTATACATGGATTGACAACTTCATCAGTCGCCAGGCTATCACAGATATCATGGCGTTTACTGAATAGATCAGCTAAGATAGAAGCTGCATGCTCTTGAGTCTTCTTGTTCGAGGAATTGAGAACCTGGACGAGAGACCTTAGCCCCTTATTAGCAGCAGCTCCCTTATGCACTAGATCACTATCTGATGCGATTGAAAGTACATGACCCAGAACTTTAATTATGTGGGCCTTGGATCTTGGAATGTCTCCCAAGAGCAAAGCTAGTAATTGATTGATGGTCGCTGAATCAGCCTTTCGGATGAGCTTTATCAGAGCCTTAACTGAGGCTTCCTGTCCCTTTGGTCCACCATCTTTTAGAATCCCCAAAAATGCTGAGATGGCTCCAGCACTTTCAACACAGGCACGAATATCTTCACTGTGACAGCACAAATTCCATAGCATAACTGCCGCATCTTCCTTCGCCTTCTGTGATCCCGCTTCTAATATTTGGACAAGTGGCGGGATTCCACCAGCTGCAGTAATTGCCCACTTGCTATCATCATTTTGTTCAGTTAGAATTGCAAGCATTTCAACTGCATACTGTTGATGTTTTTGATCGCATAACCCCAATGATGAGATAAGTAATTGAATTCCTTCTCTCTTTCCTATGGCTTCCCAAACACCTAATGATTCAGTGCATAAGCGTATAAGAGCAAGTATCAAATATTCTTGCGCATCACCTGCAGCCATTGTTACAAGCCCAACAAGCACCCTCTTAGATTCCGATTGACCAACTGTAACTGATAGGTGGGCATTGCCATAGAGGTTCCCCAAAGCCTTAAACAGACACTCCTGAAACAGCTTATTATCCCTAGGTTTTAGAAGCATCGCCAGAATGCTTTCAATTTTTGTTGAGTCAAATGGTTCCTCGTCAGCACTCTGCTCAAAGACCATTAGGCAATAAGACAGGGCTAGGATAATATCAGGAACTGGAGCAGCTAACCTTGGGGACTGAGAAAGCTCCCCGAGATGGAGAATTAATGCAGACATCCCACCGTATATATTTGCTAATGCTCGTGTTGCATGCTGCTGAAGAGCCAGTCCTACCTCTCCCTGCATACCTTCCTTGGAAGGAGCAATCACAGCTCGTATAAGCACCAGGACGCCCCCTGCATCAACAACGGCTTTCTTAGCATCGGTTGATTTAAAAGAAAGCGCCTCCAAGGCTTCAGCAGCGCTTGCTAGAACAGAAACATCCTTTTCTTGATCCAATAGTCCGAGCAAAGCTTTGATTGCCCCAGAATCAATTATTTTTGGAATACCATCAGGGAAAGCCAACATAAGACGGGCTAAGAGAGCTGCAGCATTGGATTTAGTAGCAACATTTTCAGAAGAAAGAAGGCGAACAATGATATCTACTCCACCATCATCGAGAGTTGCTTGCCAATACCCATCTTTGTCTCCACAAAGATTTCTCAATGCCCCAGTGACAAACCCTTCTACCACTTTGTCCGTCTTGTTTTCCTGATCTAACTGTCTCCATAAGGCCGGAACCACACCTTCTGTAACAAATATTTTTGTGCCCACATTATCATCCGAAAGTCCACTGGACGACACTTGGACTAATGCTTCTGCAGCAGCCTTCCTAGCTTCAGTTGATTCCGACTTCAAAAGTGAGAGTAAAGGTGGGATACATCCACCTAGAAGCACCTTCACTCGCAAATCTTCATCTTTACACAAGACGCTCAACGTAGCAGCAACATTTATCTTTGCCATAGGAGTTCCACTCCTAAGAATGGATATGAACAATGGAATTGCTTGACCATGCGAACCAATAAGCTCCCGAGCTTCCTTTCTTGCTTTAGCAATACCTAGCAAACGTGCCGTGAGAAGTTCTTTCTCTGGTGGTGAAGACTTCTTGGCATGTAGTTGCTCAATGAATTGAGCAACCCTTGTCTTCATTCTCTCTGAATCATCAATCTCTGCAGTTCCATTTGATTCTCTAGAAGGGAAAAAAAAAATAAAAATTATACACATTTTTCAGGAAACCATAATAATAAAAGTCAAATTAAGGCCCCGTTTGGTACCCATTTTAATAAAAATGAGAATGAAAAATATAGTTGTTATAGGCCCCACACAAGAGATAAAAAGTCAAATTTTGTGGTTTGATCTGATGGATAACGGTCATATTTTTCATTTTTGTGGCTAAAGAATGGTAATCAAAAGGGGGCTAAGTAATATGAGCTGTTTATACAGATTGTAAAATTTCAAGGAAGCATCACATATTATCCCGGTTAATCCTTGCAACTTATATTTCAAGTGCATCATCCGCACACCATAATTTCTTTCCGGTAAAAAGCAGTACCTTGAACGAACTAGTAGGCATTAACTAATGAGTTATTGTGTTATAACACTTACTCATTTTTCCCAGAGAATGAAGAAGCTTTATTGTTCCTTGATTCAGAGGAAGATGACTTCGACATTAAAACAGTATTCTTGAACCTGCTATAGATTAACACCAGTTAACTTTTACTACTCTTTACGGGTAGGGGGGAAAAAACAACCACGCTGTAAGTAAACCATAGTAACCTAAATGGAATAAATTTGCATCTTATTCTAACTCACAACTGGGGAAACGCACTCATCCAGGAAAGCATATATAGAAATCACAAACACCAGTTTACAGGTTGCCTAATCAAAATACGTGTTACCTATGTCATAATTTATAAACGAAAGATCGCATTTCACAAACAACATTTCCATGTATAGGAAAAATAAAGTAAAAAATAAATAAATTGTTCACAATACTGTACCTCAGCCCGTAAAATCGGAGAATGCTGCCAGATTTCCCTCCTAGAACTCTCTCAGATGCGATTTTTCTCACCTCAAATGTTTCACCCTTACTTTAACGTACACATACGCATATGTTTATCTAAACACAAATAGTGTACGACAATTTTCCGCCGACCTGCATATCCATAAACACCCCAAAAACTCAAATCGATTCAATTCCAGATCAATTGTTCAAATGCACGTAAGCTAATAAAATGTATATCCATATAAACCATGCATATGTTCAAATATAATACGACTACACATATCATGCATATGTGGGTAAATACTGTATATACATGTGTGTTTGTATGCAATTTAATATCTCATATATTAATGCATCACATTCTGTAAATTTGGGAATAAATATCAATATGATGATAATAGAAATTAATAAATTAAGTGTTGACATGGTTAAATAAAGAAAAAACAGGAAATTAACCTGGAAAACATACAGTTTGATATATAAATTAAACATTAACGTTGTTTAAGTAAACAGAAAATTAACATTGAATATTCACCGTTACAAAACTCACATGAAATTGTCAATGGAGTAGAAGCGGAGGTCTAGAGAGAGAATCGATCTATAGAGAGAATGGGAGAGTTATTTCTTCTTTTGTTTTTCCTTTCCTACAGTTGGTTCGTTTTCTTTTATACAATTTTGTATTTTCGGCCGAGAAAATAGATAAATTTGTTGGAATTTGGTTGATGACCAATTTGCATATGAATGAGAAATTCGATCTTATTTGACAGAAATTAAAATTTGGGCTGTGTCTCTTTACCCACCACCTTTGAACTCCTATATATAGGATCATTTGGATATTTATTTTGATCCTACATAAATTATTCTTTCATGACATGTTGCATAAAAACTTTATAGAACTGATTCCATTTTACATCAAAATCATGGTTATGGTAGAGAGGGAATTTGGTTCTAGTTCGTTGGTCGAAATCATTTGGAGTACTCCTATGGTTTGACGTGGTCGTTGTATCTTGGTAGATGATTGTCGGAAAACCGTTAGCACCAATGCGTGACAAATTCATCTTAAGGACAAAGTGTCCAACACTTGTTTTGGCCAAAAATTCATCACTTGCATTCTCTTGTTTCATTTTCTGATTTCTTTTATTATACTTTGATTTCAGAAATTGATTAACATTGCTTACATGTTTATGTTGCGAGGTCGATCCAAAGAATGATTTGCTTTCGTTCAAGAATCGAAAGGGATGAATCCATATTGATACGTATAGACCGGTAAATTATTGTTTTGCTTCTCAAATCCATTTCGAAAAGTTGAAATTACGTTTCGATTTTACGCAAAAAAACGACATGATTTTTGTGAATATAATATGCACAACTATCGATAAAATTTTTTAACAATCTTAAGATGAATTCCGGTGCTTGTTGTGCATTTTATATTCTATGTAGAATTTGCCAAACCTATTGCCCAATTGAGGAAACATGTTTATTTATATGTTCAAATTGGGTTATGTCCAAAATTGATTATTCTGCATTCCATTGCCAAGTTAAAGTCTTTGCATGAGTATGAAAAAACGTGCCTATTTAAAGAATCGGAACAATGGAAACATTTGTAGTAATTATACTAGAAGTGGGTTTTACATTCTCTGTGAATTCGGAATATTCCCAAACGTTCCAATTTTAAAAGTTAGTAATTTTGTTGGCAACTTTTAATAATGATGGTATATAATTTTATTTGCCAAAAGCATGTATCTTTCAAATTGTCACTATAGTCAAAGAATGATGGTTAATGAATAAAATTTAGTCACCGGTTAATATGTCTTTTGGCAGTTTCATTTGCCAATTTCTTCTACTGGCACCTTTTAATAAATTGATTGTAATATGATGAAGTTAGACAAATGCATGTGACTTTCATTTTAGATGCAAAAGTTATGGCTGTGATTTAAATGGCGTATTTTCCGACCGTTGCGTGCATATGGAAAGTTGGTAAATTCATTTACTTTTCCAAATAAATGAAAACTGGTTGGCATCCTACGGGTTGTCGGTTTTTCTAAGAATGAATGTCATTAGAGAATTGTATTAATATGTAAGTTACTGTAATTGGACGGTCTAATGGTGGCCAACATATATTAAATGCATGGCTGCCAATGTCTTCATGTACTTAGTCAAAACTTGAAGTTGATTAATTCTTGGAAAAGTGCGTGCGGTTCAGAGAATATCTTAATGGCCATTTAGGTGTATACCATGTATTCATGGTTAAAATGGAAAGTCAAATTACCACATGTATATGCCTTGAAAATATAAATTATTTCTCATTTGCCGAACCATCATGTTTGCAGTGGCATATATTGGG